ACAATTTGCACTCTGATCTTTTGGCAGGACATTTTGCATTAGAGGAAACCTACAGGAGAGTCAAAATAAGATACTATTGGCCACAGATATATGATGATGTACGACGATATATCCAAACTTGTGACGAATGTTAAAGAAAAGGTAAAAATAAGAGAACTGAGCCATTGCATCCTATAAAAGTTAGACAACCCTTTGATCGAGTAGGAATGGATATTGTTGGACCTTACTCACTATGGATAAAGGAAATAAATATATTGTAGTAGCAACCGATTACTTGACTAAGTGGCCTGAAGCCAGAGCTCTTACAAATGCAAAAGCATTCTCAGTAGTTTCTTTCTTTTATGAGGATATAATTTGTAGACATGGATGCTCTAAGGAATTATTAATTGATAGAGGAACATATTTTGTAAACCAAATGCTGGATTCTCTATGTGAAGAATTGGGAATAAAACATAAGTTAACAATTGCATATCATCCTCAAACTAATAGCCTTGTCGAATGATTTAATAGGACTTTGTGTGAAATACTAGCAAAGTTCACAAATGAAAATAAAAATGATTGGGATGATTTTCTACCATCCACCTTATTTGCATATCGAACAAAAAGGAATAGCACCACTCGACATGAACCTTTTTACTTAACCTATGAGAGAAATGCTACGCTGCCGATCGAATTCCAAGTACAAACATCAGATATGTAAAATGTAACATTAGATGAACAAGAAGATTTAATTAATTGTGTACGACAAATAACTGGAAGGATGGACAATGAAATACAACAAGCATAAAATAATATTCAAAACTCCCAAAAGAAACAAAAGGAGCAACATGACCGCAAATTAAAAGGAAGCATTAATTTTAAAGTTAGAGAATTAGTTCTAATGTATAAAAGTAATTTAAAAGATAAAAAAAGCTTGAGGAAAGATGGAAGGGACTGTATTACATTCATGCTGATCTTGGGAATGGAGTATACAAATTGAGAACGTTGAATAGGAAGATCTTAAAAACACCTATAAATAGTGATAGATTAAAACAGTACCACCAATGTGATCTACCTCAGCCTATTGTGTTGATTGAAAATTAAAGAAATTTATGGAAAATGCTAGAACATTATAGTTGAAAATTATTTAAATAGGAGAAAGCCTAACTTAAAATTGATAGATTAATAAAATGGAAGAATTAGAAACGCCTCCTACTTATACTGAAACATTTTCTAGAATTTTCAATTAATTATGCCGATCTGCAACTTACCATATCCCAAGAAATTGAGATGTATCCTTTACCTTACAGTGAAACTATGTCCGTGAAAATGAAGTTCTCCCTTGCAAATCAAATGCTACAAAGGGCTAAACGAATGAACAATCGTGTTCTGATACTGACAAATGCCTTTTATCTTAGAAAGCTTATAGAAGAAATAGAGGACCCTACAGTTCATTCAGTGTATGTCAAAAAGCTATCTAAACATTATTATCATACATCAGTATAAATATATTATCTCTTTGAATTTCTTAGACCAGCGCAAATTGCACGAAATAAAAGAACTACCCTTAAGTTGATATTTGGACTATCAACTGTGAAATATAATGATCTAATTGATAAAGCCACTGAGATTTATGCAGGGATGTAAAATCTTGAAGGGGAGTGATGTTACATGAAAGAAAACATGGATGATGATGATCTAAAGAATGACGTTGATTCTTAAGAAATCATATATATCTTCTATGTCATCTATGTCGTCTATAGCATATATTTCTTTTATACAATATATTCTTTTATTTATTTTATTTTATTTATCTCATATATTTATTATATTTATTTCTTTTATATCTTCGATAACTTTATATTTTACATTTTATATAAATAGAGGACCATTTCTTTTAGCTTAGCAGTGTGTCTGACATATAGTTTTATATAATAGTTTAGTTTAATCCCTCTAACATAATTGTATAGTACAGAGCGCTGACTGAGGCAGTACTCCATTGTTATAGTTATTAAATAAACTGTTAATTTACCGATACTCTTCTAAATCTAAATATTAAATTAAACCTTCTGCTTACCATCCATAAATATTGCTTCACTTATCACTCATAAGCATCTTAAAAAACTAACTATAACAATTGGTTTAAGCTAATAATTACCACTGTAGGATACCAATTCCTACCTGAAGAAATGCAGGATATATATAAAACAAACATAAAAATCAAACAAGTGATAGCAAGGCAACCTATAAATAATGAAGGATCTAGATGTAACTATTCATGCAATGTAGAAAATCATCACTTGCATACATACTGTAAAGCCTGTAAGACAAATTTACCTTATAACACTATTGAGCACGAGTGTATAATCGAATATAAATTAGAACAAATTCAACCAGACATAGATCCAAGATACTTAGATAATCAAGTATGATAGAATAAACTGATAAAAGTTAAAACACAATCATTAGAAACTCAGATGCAAGTATTACATAAAATACTTCAAGGATTTCCCTTTTATCCCACCCCTCTAAAATATATTCAACCTGAGTTTTCTGAATTAGATTAGGATTTTTTTTTTTCTTACTATTTTTTTTGAAATTTATTATTTACATTATTTATTACCTTCATTACTTAGGGTGAAAGCGAAAATGTGTGCAGTATGACATACAGCCCATCATGGATATTAATCAATATAATCGTATTTATTCTTACCTTATACAACAAACTATTCCTACAGAATTAATAACTTCCAAAACTATCAAACAATTTAAAAACTTTTACATACCTTATACAATCCAAAATAATTATTTATATAGAAATTATAAAAGAAATCCTGGAAAGCTATTAAGGGTAATTAGAACTCATGAAATGAAAGCTAATTTATACATAATGCATAATGATCCAACAGCTAGACATTTTGCTATTGAAATTATGTTTGACAAAATTAGAAAAAGATATTATTAGTCTCAAATGTATAAAAATATTCGTGCATATGTTAAAAGCTGTAATAAATGCCAAAGAAGAGAAAACTAAGTAAACATGAAGATTTACATTCAATTGCAATACAAGTATCTTTCTATTAAATCAGAATTGACTTTGTAGGACCTCTACCCCTAACAGACAAAGGAAACAAACATATAATAGTAGCCATTGATTATTTTACTAAGTGGCCAGAGGCAAAGGCTGTACTAGAAGTAACCGCTTCTCAAGTAGTTTAATTTATTTATAAAGAAATTATTTGCAGATATGGATGCCCAATGAAGATATTAACTGATCAAGGAACCCACTTTAACAACCAAATGGTTGATGAATTAATGAATAAATTTAAGATAAAACATCTTCTACTACTCCTTATCATCCTCAAACTAATGGTCTAGTGGAAAGATTTAATAGAACTCTATGTGAGTCTTTAGTTAAAACTGCCCAAGAAATTTCAAATTGGGATTTGCAAATTGCACTCATATTATTTGCATATCGAACTTCTAAGCAATCAACAACCAAGATATCTCCCTTTTATTTAATATATGGAAGAGATGAACGATTACCCCTTGATGGACTAATTGAAGAAAATGTGACTCTAAATCAACATATAGAATCTTTAGTGGATGATTTATCACAAATCAGAGGAAAAGCTAAAAACCTTGTAGAAAAATCACAAGTAAATCAGAAAGATCGACATGATCATAACTTAAAGAAGATCTTTTATTTTAAAATAGGAGATAAAGTTTTGTATTACTATATGACAAAAGAAAAGCAATGGTCTGAAAAATTAGAACTAAAATAGAAAGGATCATACTACATTCATAAAATTTTGTTAAATGGATCTTACAAAATAAGAGAAATAAATGAAAAAGTTTTATAAATACCTGTTAATGAAGAACTTTTAAAACAATATCACGTCTGACAAAATTGGAAATCCCAAATAGTTATATAGTTCATCTATCCCCTTTATCATTTATTTTAATTTTTTTTATTTTTATTATTTTTATTTTTTTTATTATATCCTTAGAAGATTTCAAAAGTGATTTGAAAAGAAGAACCTCCAATAATCCTATTCCTACTATACCTTCTTATATAGACAATATGAAGCTGAAAAAAAAGATTGAAATAACTTATCGTATGCTAAGAAGAGTCTCAATCCTTAATGACCAAACATTAATGATGATAAATGCCTTTTATCTAGAACAGTTATTAGAAAAAGAAACTTTTTCTCCAGCTTAATGTACTTACTTTAAAGGCATGATAACTAAGTATTATTATACTGCATCAATACAAACTTATTTCATTTTGAATTTCTAGGACCAGAACAAATTCAACATACTCAATACTTAAGTCTTTAAACTCAATGAAAAAGAAAAATTATCAATCTCTAATGGAAGAAGCCATGTTGATTTAGTCTAGAGACCAAAATTTAAGGGAGGAAATTGAAACCAGCAGAAACTAACAGACCTATCAAATATGACATATCTGTCAAATCTGCCATATCTGCCAAAGAGAACACTTATACTATTTATTATATTTCTATTATTTATAACATATTTAACATAATTAGCATATCTGTTAGCTCTATTATTATTATCAGTAGTATCATAAATACCATAGATTTTCTTTAATTGTAATTTTTCTATATAAAGGACATAAAAATGCCTTAGAAAAAGGACAGATTCCAACAAGTTCTCAATATTGTATTCAATATACATTTAATAATAATAAACATTCTTAACATTTTGCAAACATAAAACTTATAATTTTATTCTTATTAACTAAATAAACTCTCTAATAAATAGCATGTCAAGTTGATTGGATTTAAGTCATAGCTATTGTCTTCCTGATTCCAAATCATAGTTAACTTATTCAACGGAAAGAGTAACGTTAACAGCAGGCATCAGAAATTATGACAAATAAATATAAAATATCATCTCGATGGGTATACTAAATATGGAGAGGGGTTCATCCTCCAATAGATTCTAAAGAGATAGTATCATATCTACCAATAGACCTACTTTCAGATTTTAAAAAGATGGTATCAACAAATGCTGATTTGTCCTATAGAGAAAAGATGGACCTCTACAAGTCCTCGAGTACCATTATTCCTAAAAATAAGACAAAAAAGACTGGGAGAAGAAATCTAAAAGTCAAGTCTGTTCATATCTCTGAATCACCTAACGTTACCCTCTTAGGGTCTATTCAGACTAAGTCAGCCTCAGGAAACTCAGCCAAAGGCACTCAGGGTAAAGGATTACATGGAGAAGAATTAAGAGCATTTTATGAGAAGGATGTTAAGGAAGACGAAAAAAGTAAAGTAGAGATAGCTTGCTTATTGGCTATTATCTAATAGCTCATTATAATGAATCTGAAATATTCTACATGTATTATTGAGTTCCGCTTTAGACTTGAGAGAATTGTATAACATTTTTTCAAGCTCTTCATAACTCACTTTTTTTTTAATGCATCATTATCCTCACTTAAGTCCCGCGGGTTCTGAGAAATCTTGTCTGGAGCTGACAGATCATCACATTCAGGAGTAATGTTTGCGCAATTCACTCAAGCTTGTTCTTGACCTTATGCATAGTAACTGAGAAGATATAATCTTTTCCATTAAGGGGGATCTTTAGCTCATTGGTATCCCAATCTATTGCACATTTGTACTTTTTAAAAGTTGATTAGAAAATATTAGCGTAGGCTTGTGATATCTTATAATAATAAAATCTTCATAGATAGTATATCCTGAGGTAAGAGTAATTGGCAAATTACGAACAACCCAATAGATTCAATCAGAACTGTAACAATACCATTGAGATCATATGTTTCAGATTTGTAAATTTCAACCCCTATACGTTCAACAATATTTTCTGTTATAATAGGGGGCTCTGCTTTAGAATTAAGAGTCATAGCAGGGATCTTTAAACGCTTAATTTTACACTCTACAGTTGTAACACTTGTTTTCAGCTCCTTCTTCTGAACAAAATTAATCTCCATTGGATCATCTAAATATTCTTCTTCTTCTAGGTCTGGTAATATATCTTTGGTAATTAGGGCCTCATCGCTCTGAAACTCTATCTTTTCTTAAATAGGAAGTGCTTGTTTTAGCATATCAGCTTTAGAGTCTTGAGTAATAAGTATAGGAAAAATTAATTTAAGTTCACTTTGAATAATCTTACGGATTGTATCCTCTAAAGTACTTTGTTTACTGTATCTGCTTTATTTAGTCTTACCAGAGTTAACTACATGCTTCCCAATATCTGTCTTGTCAGTTTGCTTAACAGATTTATGTGACTTAGATTTTTTCTTAGACTGCTTCTTTGAGGACGATTTCTTGGAGCTAGACTTCTGCTTCACTTTTTTTTGTCTTAATTATATTAATATTAAGCTCACCTTCAGAATCAGAAAAATCAGAATTAGAACTTGAATCAAAATCAGAACTATCACTAGATGAGGTATCATTTGAGAAAGAATCTGAATTTGAATCTGAACCTAGATCTAAAGTGAGATTAACTTTACTTTTTTTAAACTTCTTATTTTCTTTTTCTTCTTTTAAGAGTATTTGCGAAAATTATGTCTAGTCTTACCACAGACAGAACATTTATGTTGTGTCTTCATAGCTTTTTTAATCACTTTAGCCAAATGTAAGTTTAATTGCTTTTTTGTGAGCTCAGCAAGTTCATCATCAGAATCAACTTTAATCTTTTTCTTTGGCTTTGATGGCAAAGTAGGATTAGGAACAGGAACAAATTCTAGAGTTTCTTCCATAATCTATGATAAAAATCTACTTATATTTTCATTTCATAAATTTTTATGCGTTCTTGCAGGTTGTAGTTGGAATTACAATGAAGCCACTTGTTGAGGCCGTTAAGGTTCTGAGGATGCTATTGTATTTTTTACTAAGCTTTCGATTTCATTTTTAATCATTTCTGATTTGTTAGTATCTGCATATGAATTGGCCGTTAGAAAAATTAGAAAAGAAGATGATGCACTCTTTTGAGATAATGTAAATCTTTCCGCTTCAGTTAGAGCTTTTGTAATACTATCCTGTGTATCATAAAATTTGGATATCATTCAAAGATTATATTGATTCATTGGAAACAGACAACAAATAAATTGCTCTCTTTGCTATTCAGGAGTCATTTTAGCTAATTTACTAATCTTTTTAATTCTAGTGAAGAATTGCTTAACTGACATATCACCTTGCATAAGTTGATCAAAAATTGCTGTTTGTTTTAAGTGTTCAACTGTTGTATAAGTGATTCTAAACAGGTATAAAAGTTGATCAAGCTTAATACCAGAAGCAATAGTAACAGCAGGAAGACCACCACCGGCATTAGGTGTTACTAGTGCATTATCTACAGGTTCACCACCAGCTACTGACCAGTCTTTATTCCATATTCCATTCAGAATAATATCAGCACCAGTTGTAATTCTTGTTCCAATTCTACCAATTTCGGCGGCTATCTTACCTTAAAATTCTCCAGCAGTATTCAAACTATCAATTTGATTACCACTATTTCCAGCGGCCAAAGTTCGAACAGCAGTTAAAGTAGCTACTCCTAAATTGTCTAAAAGATTATTACATCTCTAATTCTTGTCTCTGATGTGAGTTAAATAAAAATTCAGTGCATCATATGCAAGGCATGATACTACTAATCCAAATGCCTTTTCTCTTCTGGAAGCCTGATCTGTATCAGGCGTAATATTTATTCGACTAGCTATTATATATCTTTGCATATCTTTAAGCTAATCTTCTGGATTCTCTCTAAGACGACCATAAAATATTAGGAGTCTGTATCCTATTATTTCTGATATATTTAGTGGATTATTCTGTAGATTAAAAATAATTTGCTGAGAATTTCTATTCATTAGCTGAAGAGCAAACTTCTCTTGTACTAATGTATTAATATGAGCTTGCTTTTTAGCATCATTATTTATTATAGCTCCTTCTAATCTTTGAGTAATATCACGCTGTTTCTAGTATTTCCTGCTCTTATCTCTATATTATCTATGCCAATTCTGAGCCTGTTGAATAATACAATCATGTTGTCTTCTCTACCTTTTAGCATTATTATTATACCTTATGGTCCATCTATATACAGTTCTCCTATGCTCAGTAATTTGACCATCTCTACGTCGAACTATTAGTTGGAGGATAATTTTTTCTTGTGATAGTGCATTAATTTGATTTTATTTTCTAGTAACTATACTTTGAGCATAAGCTCGCAAATTCTGAGCTAATTTCCAATTCTTTCTACGTGCTTCCCCTTCATCATTTAAAGCCTGTCTAAACATTTGATTATCATGCTCTGACTGTACCCTAAGATTTTGAAAATTGTACTCAGCATTTCTAGCTTGCTGAGTTAATTGATCAATAAAGTATTTCTGATCTTGCCAATACTATTGAATCAAACTAAGACTTATAAATAATATTAGTAAAACATATACCAATTCTATCAAATTTCCCAGTTATGTCATTTGGGAGAACAACTCTAGTATTATCCAAATGTGTTCTTATTCTTTCTAAAGAACTAGAAGCCTTGAATCATCTGTCTAAAATGCTTTGAATGATATGATTCATATCTGATCCTTTTAATAATAAATTTTTATCTGTAAGCTCCTGAATTCTTCCCTTAAGCTGATCAACCTTATCTTCTAGCCTTAAAATATGGATATCTTGAGAAGTACTAGCATTACCTTTATGTCTTAAATCTTACAATATTTTTTGAAAATGATATTTAAGGGATTTGATCTCTGTTTTGAGAGATTCTATCTCCTCTTCATAAGCTATAATAGTTTTATCTTGAGATGAAATAGTTTGATAATACTGCTCAAGCTCCTTCTCGAGGAAGCGAATTTTTTTCTTACTATTCTTATTAATAAAAATCTCATTTTAAAGCTCATTATGAAGCTCTTGATTCATATCTAAAAGCTGTGAATATGCTGGATCAAACATGGTATTTTATTCTAATTTATAGTACTATTATAATAATTCTACTTTGAGAATGAACCAACCGCAAATTGTGATAGATCCTGATAAGGCTCAAAGAATTGAAAAAAATATTATATTGCGTGAAGTATATTATCATCTGACTGGTTATCATTCCAACCCTAAATCTTTGAGAGATGCATGTAAAAAAGAGGGGTATCAATTCCACCTAAGTGAATGCAAAGATTTTTTAGAAAATCAAGAGTCATACCAGACTAATAAAACCTCTCCAAAATACATCCCTAGAGTTAGCTATAGGCGAATAATACGTCCTAATTGTGTACACTAGTGCGATATACTGTTTCTCATACATGATTATTATAGAGGTAAAAAATATAAAGCAGTGCTTAATATAATAGACTGTGCCTTCAGATATAAGGTTTCAGTTCCGCTTAGATCAAAGAAAAGTTCTGAGATTGCTAAAGCATATAATTATCCCATGCGTCTTATTTGAGAACTGGGATCAGAAAAGTGGAGACTCAAGCCAGAGAAAGCCATTGCTTTAGAACAAGTTGAATCTAGACCATCTACAAAATATAAGCGCTCAGTTGGACAAGATGGGTTAAAGAAAGGAGATACCGTTCGCTATCTTCTTGCTAATGTGGAATGGGAAGGTGGTATAGAGAATCAGAGGCATATAACTGATCCTATATAGTCACCAAGTCTTCATAAAGTCTGAAAAGTTATTCTCATAAAGAATGAATCAGTTTTATATTATCTTGATGATTATGAATATACATCAAAGCGGGGATTTGTGCGAGAAGAGCTTATGTTAATAGCTGATTCAGAAAGGGTTGGTCATTCACCTCAAAGCATATTATCTGTACATATTGCATATGCTTCCCCTTTCAATAACAAGCTAGATCAAGCTATTGATTATGCCAAGAAGTGAGGTGGTCAATACCTAGGAAGGACTAGGCGAGTAAATGGTTATAATGTTTATCTTTAGTCCTATAAAAATGGTGTACATCAATAGTATCCATTAAAATATATCATAAAAAAATTTGAATATTGCTCTCTATATCACTACACTACTGGTGAATGCAAGTCTCGATATATTTTTGAGGATCTACTAGGTAAGAAATTCCTGTTATATAGAGCTAATTTCTTAGATGAACTACACTTGAATGGATATAATGAGGAATTGTGTCTTGCATTTAAATTCCAGGATTCTCAACACTATCATCACAATAGCTTCTACCATCAGGAGAATGAAAATCTAAAATCACAAAATATGCGTGATCAGAAAAAGCGAGATATATGCAAAGACTAAGGTATATGCCTTATCGAAGTGCCTCATATTGCGAATTTATATCTGTTCATTAGACATACACTAATTAAGAAAGGATTCTTGAATAAAA